TTTATTTACATGAAATTCGAACACGCGCTGCGCGACGACCACCGCGCTTTAAGAACCTTGCCTCATTGTCAAACAAATTGAACTATGGATCTGAGGTTTGTATTCACTTAAAATGATCTTATTCTTGCTTATTTATGTTGTGAACAGTCAACCAAGAAGTTTGTTCTCAACTTAACCAGTATCGACCATTTCCCATTACACACATATTTGTTTTGGTTGTATTCCACCCTTTCTCTATTAATTTTTCCGATTATTATAACTAAACGAAACTAATTCTCAGTTGTGTACAGCACAGTACCACCCCAGTCAGTGTTTCACACAGCTTCATATATTTACAGGCCCCCATGCTTAAATGCACCAACAAAAATAAGACTAGTGTACTGAAGATACTTGTTTGTGAACAATGACACTCTATGGCCATTTGACGCATGCGCAGGTGACGACAAACCCCAAAACACCCTTTCCGTTTGCCATGTCCGATAACAACGGTAATAAAATACGTATGCGTATTACTATAGCCATTTCCTTGTCGCCTATACATGTATATGTGAATTTATTCTGAATGCTAACGTGTAACTATCTAATAACTATACTTGTATATCAGATAGCCCGCAGTATGACTAACTGCAGTTAGAATCGCCGGGAATAGCAACAAGAAAATGGCCTAATCGTTAGATACAGACCCTACTAGGTCTCCGCTTACTTACCCAGTGGCATTATCTGATAGCGTTGTTGCCCCGTTAGTGGTAGTGTATACTGCACACCGTCATTGTCAGTAGCATATACTCTCTGCATTTCTTTGGTAAAATGCAACAGTAATACCTCTCTGTCTTCCAACATCGGACCATCGTAGTCATCGGTAGTACCGCAATAGTTGCCGTTTACTTGTACTGCACACGGAAGCGGTGTGTTTGTGACTAACTTGTCTAGCGTTGTCGCCATCTTCTAGTTAATGATTAATACGCACACCGTCCCCTCAACACCGGTGATTTACTATGAACAAGCGTGTTAGTGGTGTCAACAACGTTGCACGTAGTACGATGAAGTGACTAGGACAGACCGCGAAGTGAAATTAAAGACACTGTGGGGGTGAAGGTACACACCTGGATTGTGTCACGGTGTGGGAGTGCTCCTTAGCCAGTTAAAAAATGGTCGCATAATGAACGACATTGGGGGCGGCTTTCGCCAAACATTGCCTACATTTGTTTCTAAAATGGCCGAAAATTTTAATATTGGGAGTCAAAAAGACCGACCCAACCGTGAAAATGTTACCAAAACAGCGACACATGCCCATATACTCCAACTATGGGAATATCTCCCCGGGTGGTGTTAGGTTGGAGACAGCGTGCATAATATCCATCTGAAATAGGCAAAATGCACAATTTCAAAGATTTTACAGCAATTCTAGGCACTGATTTGACGCTGAAGTAGTGCTAGATGTTGATAACTTACTACAATAGGTTACAAACTTTGTTTTCAAATTTAATTGTAACGAAATATGTAAACAATTATTATGTCGATTTTGTGTATGGTTAGTGCATGTCATTTTCCATCGAGATACAGTATTTGTAAAACGATTTCTGTTGGTTGTCAAGAATATTCCTTGCTGCATTTGATCATTGGAAACCATTTTCCAGATTGGAAAGACCCATTGCAAGTCTCTGCGTCTCAAAATAAAAGCGCGGCCTCTATTGGCGGCACGCCATACAAGAGAGTAGAAAATATTTTTGGTCGTGACATTTTTTTTAATTTAAACATTATTCCTATTATTTCCATTAATATCTTTTTGAGTTAATTGGCAAATTTACCCAACCTCATTAATTGACCTATTTCTAAGCTCCATCTTCAAAAAAATGAGAACTGTAGTTTGCCTCGTTTATAGTTTGACAAATTCAGTTTTATTAGTAATAATTGTTAATTTTCGACCGCACTAATTTACTATCATTGCAGAAATGTGTGAAAGAATTGTGTGTCATCTGCAAATAATAAATTGAGTGATAGCATAATATGAGGCCTGTGCAACATCATTTACAACTATAACGTTGGACAGAAACAAAACGGTTGTTTCCTACTGCACATATTTTAGTTTCTCTCAACACCAATTTTGATAATTGCTGTATTGAATGCTTGTTTTAAACCCAGAAATATTCCCATAACTATACAACTCTTATTGCTCGCAATATATCTTGCACACACGACTAATAGGTTTAGTGTGAAAAAATGTTGAGTTGGATCTCGAAAGTAAACTTTATGGTAAATATGCCATTGACATGCCTAGACGACAACTGAAGGTGACGTAATTCAACGCATAGTGAGAACGCATGCGCAAAATGAAGCCAATGTCAATACAATTGTAATGCCGAACTAACTAGTGAATGACCTTTTGTATGTGACAAAATAAAATCACACACAGGAGCTAAAAATAATAGATTTGTAAAACTATAGTTTCTACGTAGTACAGACAGAAAAGAATGTTTTTTTTTCAGTTTCCTGGATGGCGCGTCTGGCGTAACACGATGTCATGTTATATAGCATTTTTAACTTTATATTTGTCTAAAATTTGTTGAAACAGTTCATGGTGAACTTGACTGTCTATTCTGTCGTCGCCATTGGTCGCGATGCCATCACTAATTGAGAATCCTATAATTTGGCTGATGCACCTACCTTTGTCGCACCGTCTTTTCTTGAGATTGACATTCATTAAAAATCAATAGCTCCTGGTACAGATTTTATGTATTGGGTGACAATTTCGCCGGGAAGGCTTATGTCAAAAAAACTGTGTTACACACGTTCAGCTTTATGTACTGTTATCCTCATTTACATACAAGCAATACTGGCCAAGTTAATGAGATTCTCGCCAAACAAGAGCTGCCGCGAATTCAACATAGTGCTAAAATTAGTGCACAGCGTGTGTTACATAAGTATAAAGCCATTTCCTATTCGATGTCTGTTGTTGCATAAACACCCTAATTACTTTTTTTTTTAAATCATATCCACCATAGCACAATACCTTAGTGGTTGGTGCATTCTTCGGCACTGTCTTCCAGTATTTATTCACTGAATTTGAGTTGTTAAATTGTGAAAATAAATGTCTCTACAAATATTGGCCGTGTTTAATTAATTTTCACCATTAAAAGTTGCTAAATTGTGAAAATAAATGTCTCGACAAATATTAGACATGTTTAATTAATTTTTACCATTAAAAATTGCTAAATTGAGAGAATAAATGTCTCGACAAATATTAGCCATGTTTAATTAATTTTCACCATTAAAAATTGCTAAATTGGGAGAATGAATTTCTCGACAAATATCTGGGACTTATTATGATTTAAACAACTTTTGTTTCAATTCATTCCCACCATTACAAATTGTTAAATTGTGAGAATAAATGTACATATATCGACAAATATTTATAATTTATTTTGATTTAAACAACTCTTGTTTAATTCATTTCCACCATTACAAGCTATTACATTGAGAGACTGAATGTCTCGACAAATATTTGGGACTGACTTATTTTATTGTGAAAACTCTTGTTTTCAAGCTATTTTCAAAAATATGTCTCTAGTAAAAACACTAACAGTGGTGTTACTAAAAACAATTTTCAATACATGTTTCTAGTTCACACTCCCTTAATGTTGCAATCAAAAACACTGACATAAAATGTTTCATAATTTAAAAAAAAGTGTCATATTTTAAAACACTTAGATTTACAGTTTATTCACATATCTTGGTCTGGTTATCTAATGATGAAAAATAATAGCAAATTGTCAACTTTATCAGGTGATAAATCGACGTTAGTTCAAATAGGCGATAGGTAAAGGCTCTATATCACATTACAGCTTTTTCCTGTCCAAATATCTTTGATCTTAAATGTACGATGCAGTTACGAGTAGGGCGGAATTTGTTTATTAAGATGCTTTTAATTCTTACTCAGTTACTGTTCTAATATCACAGGATATGCTTTGAACTGACACATTATACCAAGAATCATATTTCACCTTTCCAGTCTCATACTTTCAACAAAGATACTTACCAACTTGAGTTATATATTGAGGTGTATAGTAGCCCGGGAAGGGTTGTTTTGACATTATTGGTGTTTATTATTACGTACGGAATATTTACTCTACGTAAACCTCGGGGATTCCCAACAGCGTAAATTGATGGACCCTGAGTGGCAAAGTCACATTGTCGTTTTTGTTTTGATATATAGTTATCGGTCAATCAATTCTTGTTAGCAATAGTTGCTATATTTTCTAAATGGCGAATGGCTACGTAACCGAACAAAATTGTCGATGTAGACTTTCAACCAAGAGCGCGACTTACCAAAAGGTAGACAATAAATAAACAGATGCAGATGGCCTGTCATTGTGTCCACTGTTCCAAATAACATAGGCCAGGGTAATATAGATTAGAGTATTTTCCTGTAACAGTATTTGAACAAACTTTGATTTATGGTCGATAACGTTTACAATTTGGTTCTTATTTTAAGCGACAGTCATGCACCGTGAACAAGTTTTGTTGTTGTTGCTGTTTACAGCTAGTCCGAGTTCAATGTTTGTTCATACATGATAAGAGTAAGTTGTACACTTGTTACTAGCTCTGTGTACAGGTCTGTGAATGTGGAGGCGCTCCTATTCATCGGGACCTTATCTGCGCCCCAATACACAATATGTTGGGGTGGCGTAAGAAGCCCAATGTAAATATCACCCCTACACAGCCATGTACGCAGGGCTAACTTGTTACGTAATAGGTGTTGACATGCGTGTTTGATCCTAATTATTGATTTTTATTCTAGCGGTGGTCGTCGCGCGGCGCGTGTTCGAATTTCATGTAAATAAACAATGTATTTTACACGCGTTGTATATTAGTCCCATATCGAACAGAACGTGGCACGACGACTGCCACCTTTTAATTTCCTGCACTGAACACAAGGCTATCGCACGCCCACCCAACGTATAATTATTATACAGCTTACGAACTAGTATTGGTTGTTTGGAGTATTTACAATGCATACGTCACAATATTCAACGTTCATTACTATTAAGGAAGTTTGTATAGAACACTATTTGAAGGGTAAATCAATTTCGTGGTCTTCTCGTTTTCAACGAGATCTTGGCGGCCATTTGAGAGCCTAAGGGCGTGACTCAAAAGGTGATTTTCCGTTCAACTGCGAGATCTCGCGAGATGCATGAACGACGCGCGTCAAACGTCTGCCGCAAAAATCGAATGATTTGATTTTGAACTCGAATTTCTTTATTTCGTAACTCACATCGACAGGTCGATCTTCCACAGAGGAATATTGCTTTCGAATACCCTCACTTAATCGAAATTGTCTATCATCAAATGTGTGGTACAGCACATTATTAAGCATGGAAATGCCCCCCAAAATATTTTCGCGATGTTTGACGCCACTATGACGCTATGACCACAGAGAGCCCAGATACTATGATCGACTGTACGCACTCCCTATCAGCGGGGAGGGGGTATCGGCTGGTATCTAGTGTAAGAAATAGACAAGGGATGAAGGCTCCAGCCAGCTCATATTTTTTTAAACTGGAAAAAACAGACGATCAGAATGTAAAATAAAATCTATAAAACTTACAAGGTTGAAGATTATAAGTTGCTCTTTCAAATTTCGCCAAAGCCTTACCTATATTTTACCTATATCTACAGAGTAAATCAAGAAAACTACACAAATTGACTCCATTTGCCAATAATTAACGGTTTGCCCGAACGCACGGCACAGTTTGGAGGCGTGGCCTGTTCAGCACAACCAATCATAAGACTGGTTACGAACCACATGGAGGTTAGCCTTGCTCAACTGGTTCGTAACCAGTCTTGTGATTGGTTCTTCGCCTCCAATTAGGGAAAGTTATATGAGGGGAAACGTCTGTCATCATCATTGTTGTTATTGTTGTTGTTGTTGTTGTCGTCTCCGG